GCCTCGGGATCAATATAAATTGTTGAATATAATTGTTATAAGGCCAAAAAATAACAAAAACAAATAACTTAAGGACGAGCACACCTAAAAAAGTTAAACATTCTAAAAATAGAATTATTAGCAAATAACCAACAATACCAACAACCACATGATCAAGTGAATTGCAGCGGAATAGCTGCGCTTGATTGTGTTGGCATAACAAAAATGAAAATAGTGGAAAAAAGCAAACGATAATTTACAAGGCGTACTTAGCACGGTGCATAGGCAACTGGCTGAGTCAGTGGGATCGTCGGTTCGAATGTGGTGATTCCGAAATAGCTATCACTTCTACCATTTTTTCAAATTATTGTTGCTTTTCCACAATAAATTTTCATTAAAAAAAATGGCCTCGAGCTCAATATAAACTGTTGAATATAATTGTTATAAGGCCAAAAAATAACAAAAATTGTTGAATTTAATTTAAAATTTCAATTCAATTTATGAGACTTGTAACGGTTCTTTCTAAAAAAACTTCCGTCAGTCCCATGCTTTCACAAACTTACCTTTGCTGGAATAATTCGAATGAGGGAAATATCTAGCAAATTTTTCATCATACAATTACTTAATAAATCACTACGACATCCTTGATTCAATATGTTACACCATGTGCAAGTGGTATTCCACACTTTTACGAGTAAACGCCTGCAAAATATAATTTGATTAAATATGGAATTTTTATAGCAACAGGTTTATTCTGCGCTGGTAATAAAAAGTTTGTAACCGGTAAATAAAGTTCCTGTAAATTTTTGAACCCTTTTCGCATTCTGTGTACTCTTTTAACCGGTAAATTTTGTTACCATCTCATAAGCTGGTAACAAAGTATTGCGCATTACCAACGAACCTAGAATCGCGGTGACAAGAACTGGCAACATTTTTTGGTAATAAAATTTTCCGGCTACAAAATCTTCAGTAAAGTGCAGAATAGACCTGTAAATTAAAACTTACTGGTATGATTTTTTTCCTTCACTTAGCGCTTTGAATGTGCTATATTTTGTTATGTCTCCCAGAATGGTCCATATTTGTTTATAACTCCTTCTCAGATTTTTTCCTAAACTTTATGAGTAAAAATAGTTAGTAATGTTTTCATACATCTACATATCTTCTGAATATTTACGTCAAGATTAATGTCTCCACCATTTGCAACATAATAAAATAAAACTGTGGAAGCAAAAGGGCGAGCATTGTTCTGTTAATCGTTTCGTTTTGTCGCGCCGTTAAATGTGAGAGGTCTAGTGCACTCTTTATTAGATTCAAAATTTTCTTTGCATTAATAAGTTTTTCCGTATGAAATGGTTCCCTATTGATTGATAAGAGACAATATACTTATTTAATAAGAGAAAATAAGTAAGGCACTCCGCATATTAAGCGCCTAATCATTGTAATGTAATCGTTTCGACATACTTAAGTAAGAAGCTTTTATGCCGAACACATGTATTTAAATGAAGCTATTTACATTACGATTCATAATCATATTTTCGCATAATGAAAAAAGCTGCACGAATCGAAGCGGCCAACATTATAACGCGCTTGTCGTTTTGAAATTGTCATTTATTTACTTTTTTGTGTTGGAAATAAAAACTAATTGTCATTTCAATAGGAAATAATTGAAAATTAATGATTTCGTGCTAAAAAATGGGGCAAATTGTATTAAACCGTTTATGCAATATTTCGCTGCAGAAATATTTGCGGAATGCGTAGTTGTGAAAGAAAAGCCAGAAATTTTATTATGTGTAGAGTTTTTATTAGCTGGTGACTTATGCAGGACGTGCAAGTGTGCAGAAGTCTCAATTACTCTTGATAATGCGCTTAATATGCGGAGTTCCTAAATTTTTCTTACCGTAAAGTCACAACCAGATGGGCAACCAAATTTTTAAATCGAATAAAAATTTGTGGATATTTTTCTACTGGATCGTCGCTAAGAAGCAGGATTGGGATGTGTAGCGGTCCGCAATTGACAGCATCAACAACCGATAAAGAAACCTGCCCAAAAAATATATTTAACAAAAACTGGATGTTATCTACCAGCTTATATTGATATATTCGCCACAACTCCTTCTTTTTTTCAGTATTGGGTTGAGGTTTCGATACAGTTAACAGAAGATGGCAACACTTTGCAGAATACTCCACTGTATTAGAATTTAGAGAATCTATAAACTTCGAAACAAAATGTTTAACGCTACCATTCACATCAGCACTATAATCCGGGTAAAGTTCTAAAAGAGTAACAATACAACGTAAGACGATTAAATTATCTATTTGCACACAATATTCCTTGGTTATTGTGTTAAAAATATTTTCAACATAATTGGAACCAAACCATTTCCTTGATTCTTCACGCGTGTTGCACATTATTGCAAGTTCACCTGCAAAAAATTTGAATATTAATCAATAAGCTCATTCAGAGAGTTTTTAAAATATACCCAAGGTTAAAACAATCTGCTGGGCCCTCCGGATTTCTTTGCAAGACACATATACCCTTAATAATAATGCAGTCCATGGGTATGATTTGTTTCTCATTTCTCCGGAGGTATGATTTAACAAACGAAGTGCTAATATATAATTTTCCGTGTTTTGGATAGAAGAATCGATCATTTTTTCCAAAGCTCCCTATTTAAAGAAAAACAAAACAGGTAATGTGAATATATCGAATTGCCTATTTATTGCATTTTGAGGATGGACAGTAAGGCTTACACGGGCTTCAATATAAAAAAAAACTCTTACGAGTTGCTACCAATCCTTGCAGTTTTTACTGTCAAAGCTTTATTAACCTAAGAGACATGCAAGCGAGGGAAATTACGAGAGTGTACCAAAACGAGCATGCTGTTCACGCAGTGAACGGGAGATGCAATGGTGGTTTAAAAACAGAATGCTACTGGCGTCTTCGTCTTCTTGTTTAGCGCTGCATCCGCCTAAGGGAAATGACTCAGTCTATAAAGCACGCCAGTGGTTTTTGTTCTATGCCAACTGGTGCCAATAAGAAATGGCAAATGAAGCCATGTCCTTCTCCAGCTGGTTTTCCCATCACAAAAGGGGTTCCGCGGTGAGTACTTTCAGGGCTGTGGCGTATGCTTCCATTCGTACAATATGACCCGGCTAGAGGAGCCGATGTGTTTTAATTTGCTGCCTCGGTCATCTACGGTATTCGCAGTCGTTAATGCGCAAAGACCCGAAAATCTGCGGCAGAATCTTTTTCTTTTACACACTAACGGCCACCAGTGTTGACCGAACTTTTTGGACCAACCGGCTAAATTTGGCATAAAAAACCACTGAAAACGGCTAAACTTTTTCAACTAATGGTGATTTCGTTTCTTCCAAAAAATGTTGCCCTTCCCCGGTGCAAAATGTGTTTGAAATTACACTCAGCCCTGTAAAAAGGCATGTTTTTGCATTGTTCTCCTTGTCCAGGTCACGCATTTCATAATATTGTCGTTTTCAACAACCATCTGATTTTCAGGGCAACCATCTCCCCTTACACAGCGCCACCGTGCAGAGAATGTGCCTTTTTTGCTTTACAAAAGTGTGACATTTTAAGAAACGAACACAAATTTGTTTCACCCTTTGCCTTTAATTTAGCATCGAATACAAAAAGAAAAAGGGGCAATCAAAAGGCGATATTATTCGATAGAAACGATAAATTTCACCTTTCATTTATGGCGTTTTCGTTTCTACAAAAAATGTTGCCTTCTCATCGCGCTATTCTTAGTGTTTGTGCGTAGAGGGCAAAGAGAAGGTTGCATTTTTCGGTAGAAACAAAATCGGCATTAAATAAATCAAAAGTAGGACTAGTTCTTGGAGAGAAGTTGCAAATTAAAGCTGGAAAAAAAATTGCCGGCAAGAATTTGCAATTAGGAAAAACATATGATTGTGGCACATGGCTGGATTTTTTGTCGACGATTGTTTGAATAAACAAGTTCGTTAAACTTAAAAATGTACAAACGTGAGCGATTTGAAAATGAAAAATGTAAGTAAATACTTGTTAATTTAGTTAATTCCAAAGATTTGAAAGGTACTCGGCTGAAAAACACTGTATTCGTAATCGGAATGCAATCTCAGAGTCGATATAGGGAACCCGACAGTTACTACGATAAAGAAATTGAAACGTATGTTGAAGAAAGTCGGACTAGCAAGATATATAAATGTAGATCTTGGTTTTTGTCCCTCTTAAAGAATTTTAAAAATTCTATACAAATTTCTTATGTCTGATATGCAATCGTGGACCCTATCTGGCAGGGAAACTTGCAAATTCCGGTAAATTTGCGTTCGGGCAGAAATTTTAAAGTTTCTCTACTTGAGAGAGAATTTGGGAGCATTTTTTCTTACTATCTACTTACTATTGCCTTCCCAGACAGTTTTGCTTTACATAGAAATGTGTGCAAGTTGTGAAAGTTTGTTTAAAAAAAATACATATGTGCACATGGTGGCTGAAAATATAAGTTTATCCCTTACCTTAAACCTTTAGGAGTGGGAGACAATGATGTTTTGTAATTAAGCCAGAATTGAATATGCGCTATCTACCTATTATTATTGTTGGGGATAGAGCACTGCTTCCTATAGTACTATTCTGTGTATTGGCACTTTATCCGAACACAAACGCATATTAAGCAAACAGTGAAACAATTTGTTATTTTCTAAGTTTGCGAATAAAACTTTACACTTAAATTTAAGACATTCATGACAAACATTTTATGAAGAAAATCCCTTCTACGACCTTTAGGAAAAATACATATATTCGTTTCAAATAAAATAAGCGAAATCGGCCCAACTTTATATAACGCTCTCTGACATGAAAAGTTTCTCCGCGATAAGGCTAGTAGCCATTTCTAACAGATTTTGGGTCGCTTAGTCAAAAAAGGAAACATATATATTTGAATTTTAAGAAAACAAGGCAAATAGCAAAATCGGCATACATTTTTTTACAAACAGGCTAACAAATCGGTTGCCGGCTAAATCTAGCCCGAAAACGGCTAAAATGGCAACACTGACGGCCACCTCATCGAATGTTGTAATTACCAATGATTTGAAGTTGTCGAGAGTGATTCTCTGTTGAATTTGTAGGCTTATATTATTATAGGTTCACACACATGAACCAACGACTACAGATCACGCAATCCGCCGTCGTTGTATTTGTAATCGAATTTCAAAAAAAAAGTTTTCTTGGCGTTTTTGATGCTTTTTCTTTTGTTTACATCGTCTTCTATCGCTTCGGGATGGCCTTTTTGAGCAATTTGATGTGTTTATGCGCGATTTTTATTTTAATCTTGATTTAATACAAAGTTATCACATAAAATGAAGTACTTTGTGATTGGAACAAGTTTGTTCATTTGTTTGGTTTGGCAAAAGGCCTAAATTTTCGTGAAAAGTGGATGCACGTTTGTGGCCAGAACGCTGGCATTGAAAAATCGACCCATGGTGATGATATGCGATTGTAAAACACTTTCAATCATGAAAACCATATTTTATGAACTTTTTTGCTAATTTTCACAAGTCTCACTTTGTATATTTTATAATAAATACCAATTTAATCGCACTCAATCACCGCACCTTATCCGTTTTCTTTGTTTTCATTCTCAGAAACGCTCAGAAATTTACTTTTTTCATTATTCTCCGATTGCGTGATCTTGTTCGCAGGTTCATGGTTCACACACAAAGCCCTCGAGCGGATCAGTTTTGCAGCTCTTAATATCCCCTCTAGAAAGTATTTTCCCCACGATCCTACGCGAAATCAAACAAGTTTGATTTTCAAAAATGCGCGTGATACGACGACGTCATAACGCACGCATTTATCGTAAAATCGCACCTACGTTGAACCTTACGTTTTCAAGTATGCTCCTGAAAGCGTGCAAAACATTTGTCGTGTATATGCGGAACACGGCATAAGAGCGGATGCATGCACCTTATCAACTCTTCGCCTACGTACTTGAATTGCTCAGCTGGCACACCATTACTTTTCAGCAGTTAAAAATTAACCGTGGGCATCGATTCCGTTGTCAATGACTAGTTTAAATATTGTTACCATTCAACAGGGTGGAAAAGTGTTCCCTCCGTAACTTAAGTATGATCTGTACTTCAGTTACTAGGTCGCCGGAGTTCGACCTGGTATCGAAATCTTTCGTAGGAAGCTCTTTATATAACGAAACAATTCATAAAGTATTTGCGGAGGACTTGGTTGCACGTCTTGGGACGCGTTAGTGCCAGAGATAGTGCTTCATACTCTCCACTTCTTCATTTCATTTCAACATTTTACTATGTGTGCCCATAACGCAGTGCCCGGTTGTAGACGGAGAGTTCATGACCAAGAAATCCATCATACTTCAGATCAATTGAAATTTTTTTGTGAGCTTAGCTTGTTAAGATATAAATCGAGATCCGGATGGCTGGTACCTGAGCAGCGGTCTTCATTATGCGTTTTTAGCTACTAAAGATGTCAATAGGTGTGTTCGTGTTTTTTTTCTAGCAGAAAACTCTCAACAGAAAAATTCAAATGAATTTTTATCTGTTCTGTCTCAAGGAGATAAATGTTTGCAAAAGTACGCAAACGCAATTTCTTTTTCTTCATAAGTTGCAAACAGATGACTTTGATCAGCTTCATACTTCAGATGGGCTGTCTTTTTGACAGCACATTAGTAATATTATAAATAGATGAAATATCTACAGATAGCCCATTTTTGAAAGTGCATTGTTGCAAGTATACATAAGTGTTAGAAAACACATTGCAATTACCTCCCTAGTATGAAAGCTTACTTGGAGAGGATTTTAAGGTCATACAAATATGTGTCCTTAGTGAGTCCTAAAACAGCCAAAATTGAGTTTTATTCATTGCATTTTTATTTATAATAATAATAATAGATTGGCGCTTACACATATGTTAGTGTTTGGCCAAGCTTCTCCTCCGATTTGTGGCGTGCGCCTTGATGTTGTCACACAAAGAGGAGGGACCTACAGTTTTACGCCGACTCCGAACGGCGATTGTATTTTTATGAGAAGCTGTTTTTCATGGCAGAAATACACTCGGAGGTTTGCCATTGCCTGCCGAGGGACGACCGCTGTTAAGAAAAAACCTTTTTTTCTATATTTTTGCGATGTTGCTTTGACCAGGGTTTGAACCCAGGTGGCGTCTTCGTCTTCTTGTTTAGCGCTGCATCCGCCTAAGGGAAAT